TTCTACTTGGGCAATGTTCCATACATTTGCAAGAATCCTCAAGAATCCTGTTTTTTCACTGATGGAGTACATGAGGCATTGTTTGTTCTGTATCTCAGTACAGATTGCTTTACACAATAACATCATAATAACACCCCCCCTTTTTTGTTAAAACAAACTCTGACTCTGACTGACTGTACAGTAAAAATATCAGGAATTGAGAATCTGTCAACACCAGGAGCCAGCCCCCCACGGACCACAGAGGCTGTCACCACATAACCCATCCAAGTCACCAACCACCCCAACAATGGCGTTCCAGATAGCAACAACCCTACATACTGAGAAGTTATATACCCCGGAGTGTAAGATAAAACAAAAGAACATAGTACTGCTTGTTTTATCATACTTGCACGTGTAAAACTATATTGTGGTCCAACAAACAAAAGTGATTTTTTATTTCCTGAACAATCAGTGTCTTACTCATTAATTTTAAAACAATTTGTTCCATCTGTCTTGCTATTAGGGCTCAATCTAAAAGAACGTCTGACATGAGAGCGTTAGATCCTCATCTGGAAAGACACTCAATGCTTACAGTTGTATGCTCCCATCTAGACAATGTCCTTTTCTGAGAAAGAATTTCACATATCATCAAAATCGACCTTAATTGTACAGTATTTCTATTACTGCAACTTGGCTTTTTAAATCTACCACTTTCACAGCCTAAAACCATCATAGAAAGTAAACAATTCTACAGTGAAGGCCCAGGTTTATTGGGCAGCTACAACCTTATATGAGACAAGGATAGGACCACATTTGTCTTCCAAAGTCCAGCCAATGCTCCCAAGAATGACCACATTGTCATTAAAGACTGTTACAAAGAGGTAAATATGGTCCTGTCTCTTTTAAGATGCGAGGCTTCCATGAAATTCAAGATTAGCTTCAGTTTTTGTTCTTTATAGTGTTATGTCTGCCAATCAAAGAATGATTTCTTCCATGATTTCAGGTGTGAATAGATCAGTTCAAAAGGCATTTGAACAGAGCAACAAAACATCTTAACCTGAGTGACATTGTTAACAACTGCAGTACTGAAAATGATGCATTTGGTTCCAATTCATTACCCTGTATGTGTGTTCAGAAATTTTTCATAATTTTGTATTCAATCATGAATAAACTTCTGTAAACATGTGTTTCGTATCCATGGATATTGTTATGAATAGTTACATTAAATAATTTTTTTAGAACAAAAATAAAAATGAGATAATTTGTGTTTACAAATCTTGATAAACATGGGTTATGGTGTTAACAACTTTTCTTAATGTCTGAAAAATATATCCATCTCTCTATCCAAACACGAATCACTACTTGCCTAAGCTATATTTATTTTTGACCATGGTAATACCATCATCAGTTATTGCAAGATTGCAATCTATGAGCCAAGGCGATACAAACATGGAAATGAAAGTTGACCTTGTATGTGATCACAGATATCCATTTCATTAAAAGATTTGTCAGTCACTCATACTATCAAATACTAATTCCATGAACTCTATTTTTTGAGGAATGTTTTTCTTGGTAAATCATATGATTTCAATTGTCTGATTTAAATCGTGTTAAATCATCTGATCATCCGAGTTAACAAGAAAATATTTTCATTGGAATGCCTTTGTGTAGCTCTAATACCTTTTAGGAATGCCTGCCATGCTGGCATCA